GACATGGTGAGGCCACAGACCTAAAGACACAGCGAGGTCACGGACCTGTGCCAGGGTTCCCATCCCGCAGACATGGCGAGGCCAGGACCTAAAGACACAGCGAGGTCACAGACCTGTGCCCGGGTTCCCGTCCCGCAGACATGGGGAGGTCATGAACCTAAAGACACGGCGAGGTCATGGACCTGTGCCAGGGTTCCTGTCCCACAGACACAGCAAGGTCACAGACCTGTGCCTGGGTTTCCGTCCTGCAGACACGGTGAGGTCACAGACCTAAAGACATGGCGAGGTCATGGACCTGTGCCTAGGTTCCCGTCCCACAGACACGGTGAGGTCACGGACCTGTGCCTGGGTTTCCGTTCTGCAGACACGGTGAGGTCACAGACCTAAAGACACGGCAAGGTCATGGACCTGTGCCTAGGTTCCCGTCCCACAGACACGGTGAGGTCACGGACCTGTGCCCGGGTTCCCATCCCGCAGACACGGCGAGGCCACGGACCTGTGCCCAGGTTCCCGTCCCACAGACACGGTGAGGTCATGGACCTGTGTTGTTTCAAGCTGCTAAGTTTGTGGGTATTTGTTATGCAGCCAAAAATAACTAATACACCTTCTCTGTTAGTTTCCCACGGCCACCATAAAACCAAACAGATAATTTGAGCCTCCCATACCAACAAGGTTTATTGTTCCCCATTCTCTTAAAAATATACACAGTGCTACTGAGGAGGTGACAAAATTGCTCCAGGGGCAAAGGACAAACCCCCACCCACCCCGAGCCCACAAAGGCAGCCTGCCAGTGTTTTCCAAGTGCTTCTGAAAGCCTCGGGCTCAGCTTCCTGCTTCCAAGACTCCAGCCAAGGACTTATCCTGAACTCTCAAAGTGCCGGGAGGATTTGGGAAAGCACAGAATCCAAACAAACCAGCCTGAAAAGTGCTCCAGAGAAACCTGAGTTCTCCCACCCACAACACACCACGCAGCCACCAGTACCGCGAGAGGCGCCACAGTAACTGCCTGTCCACATGCCGACACGTTAAATCCATGTTAAAAAGTAGGCTATGAAAGTGCTCGCAAAACACCAGAAAGGAATTTACTAAAAACCTCCACAATGGCTGGCTTTTCCGAAGGTGGTTCTAGTTGCTCATTTCTACATTTTTTCACATTTTTCAGTACTTGCTAAATTTTGTACGCTGATTATAAAGATGTGATATTGGAAAAATAAAGACACTTACTTTTCTTCTCTGATGGAAGGAACACGGAGGTGGGTGAAACGGCCTAAGTGTCTATAGGCCTTCCTCAGAACGACACTGACGTCTTCCGGTAAATCATTTTGCTCCTGTTTTCTAGAAATAATTCAGAGGCTAATTGACCACCAAAGATCTTGTCAGATTTATTCAAATTCTCCAAAGAGAAACTCCACATCTATAAAATTGTTTCCCACCGAACAGGAGGCCTCAAATAGCCCCTCCTGCTTTCTCTCCCTCAAATTTCTAAGATAACTTTTCACCCCTCTGGTCCTCCTTCCTTCCATGGATGCGCAGCCTTCCTAAAAGGCCAGAAATAAACATACCCGGGTGAGAGGTGCCCAGACCCCTCGCCAGAGCAAGCAACCACATGGGAGCCAGCTTGGAGAACGCAGAGCCCTCTCTGTTCAACAGTGACAGACTCTCACAGGGACGAGGCCCACGACAAACACACACCTCGGACTTCCTAACAGCCCTCAGCACCCAGGCACACGGTGGCCCCCTCGCCCCCCTCGGCACCCACACACGCTGTGGCCCCCTCTCCCCCCTCGGCACCCACACACGCTGTGGCCCCCTCTCCCCCCTCAGCACCCACACACGCTGTGACCCCCTCGCCGCCCTCAGCACCCACACACGCTGTGACCCCCTCGCCGCCCTCGGCACCCACACACGCTGTGACCCCCTCGCCCCCCCTCGGCACCCACACAGGCTGTGGCCCCCTCGCTCACCTCGGCACCCGCGCACAGTGTGACCCTCCCCACCCCCAATCCCTCTAGCTACATAGCACATCCCACTGTCCTTAAAGCAAACTTCACAAAGAGCCCTCTCTGCTCCCTGGTGTGATCTTCTCCCTCATTCCGCTTGCCCACTGCGGTCAGGATTTTACCGACAGACGATTACTGCTCTGTTCACTCCCACAGTCACGTCTCCAGCCTCACACGGGATGACCTGTCACCCGCATCTGACCCAGCCGGTCACCTCCTCCTCCTAAACGCTCTTTCTGCACTTGGCTTCAAAGCTGCCCACTCCCTTCTGTGGCCTCACTGGCATCTCCTCAGTGCTGGGAGGGAGGCAGGGCCAGGCCTCAGGGTGGCCTTCAGATCCCCACACCCTGAGGCCTCCCTGGCCCCACTGTCCAGGTCCAGTCACTGCAACTCCAGACTCACGGACCCCTGGACACAGGACATCCCCACGTGGAGGGGACAGAGCCCTCCCGAGCCCAGCACTTGTGAAACGCAGTGTCTGCTATCCCTCCCAACATGACTTACGCCTTTAGCATATTAATATAGAAAGCAACGGACAGGGAAATGGAATTTCTCATTTCTTCCTTTAACTGAAGCCCGTCCATTAATTCATGACGAACCTGTCACAAAATGGAACAGATTATTAATCTGGATTCAAACAATTAGGTAGAGATTCAGATTTTTGTCTAGATTTTATTTTCTCATTAATTAACTTTTATATCCAGCTCTTCAGATACAACTTAAGCTGATTTCCCACATGTCAAAATGAAGAGCTGATGAATGCTTACGTACGTACTGTGGTAGTAATTACTTGTCTCTGTGAATTTTCCATTAACTTTAAAGAAATTCAAAGCAATTACAAAGGAAATATTCAAAGAGCGACGATGACAGCAAAAGACCCTGTTTCCAAAATGTCACATTTTGAAATGAACTGCTTGTCACATTGGATGAACTATTTCTTTTTAATACGTTTACATGTTTTTCTTCATGTATGTATGCATATAGTTTCTTATATCTCTCAGCAAACTTGTATGTGATTTCCACGCAGAGTTTTCTGAACAATGACTTTTAGGAAAGTTACTTCTTACGTCTCTGTTTCTGAGACGCCGACTTACCATCATGGAGAATACCTGCCGGTATTTCTGCGGCACGTGAGACTTTATGAATGGCGCTGCAGTGGAGCAGAACCTGGCAGCCTCTTCCTTTCTTCCGGCTTGCACGTAACACTCCAGAAGTTCCCTGGAGAATATAAACGCGTCACTGTTCAGCCTGGTTGAAACTGTTTTCTCCTGTCTAATAACCAGGTTATTAAACTGTGACAAACTATGTTTCACAAACTGTAAAAGCCCCCTGGGGTCAGCTTCTTCAGGCAGAACCAGGCCCCAGGCTCACCAGGAAGGGCCAGCAGGTGCCGGACAGCCCGCTACCACTAGCACCAGGCCATTTTGAAATGAAAGATCTGCGTTCATATTACTCAAAGGTTCCCCAAACGGCCATCCAACAGGTAACCAACGCCTGCAGGCTCCAGGCTCAGGGCCGAGGGGAGCTGCTCTGAAGCTGGCACAGCTGGGATCCTCGCTGGGGACATCAGCCCGTCCCCGGCCTGCACAGAGAGCTCCACAGACACAGAGAGCTCGGACCCACCCCCCTTCCATCGCCTGGCGCAGAGACGGGGCATCTGCTGACACCCATGTGGTGGCCCCTCAAGGCTCCGGATGCACTCACTCTGCTTAGTTTTATGCTGTTAAAATGTCTACTGCATTAACATTTTAAGAACTAAGATTGTAAAACCATGAGCCAGGCCGGGCGGCGCAGGGTCACATCTACTTTGCTATGAGTCTTGTTCTGTTGTCATAACCTCATAACCAGGGCATGGCAAATGTCATCTATAGATTTTGGAAATGACCTTCAGACAAGACACACAGAACACATGTGACTGTGGGAGAGAATGCACATGTGCGCCCCGGCGATGTGGAATCCCGTCCCCTGGGGAGAAGAGGCGGTGGCCTCAGAGCCGGACGGGCAGCCCACTGGGAGGCCACGGAGGCCACAGCAAGCTCCACTCACAGCATCAGCTCGGCACGCCACTCCTTGTCTTCCTCCTCAGTCTGACTGAGCACGTTCACGATTTGGGAAAGGCTGGGGATCAGATAGTGGTGATATCCAGGCTTGAGGAACGGCCTGACCATCTGCCAGTAGAGGACTGATGCATTATACACCAAAAAGTAATACCTGTGACACAGGAGAGGAAGTGGGGAACCCAGTCAGAGCCCAGCCGGCCCAGGCTGCAAAACCAAGGGGCTGCCGTGCCCCGGAGCCCCTCCCAGGAGGGGGCCTCGGGTCCTGTCCCAGCAACGGCAGCAGCCCCATGTGAGGAGCTTTGGCCCGGCCTGCAGGAGCACCAGGACGTAGAGCCCTTCCTTGGGACAGGCTTGGGCAGCCCTGGACCCAGCGTGCTATAGCTCCAGGGCAGTCCCAGCTGTGATGACCCGGCCACAGGCTCCCAAGTCCAGACCAGGGCCCCCTTCGGTCAATCATTCCACAAACTGAACGCCCCCCAGCCCCATCTCCCATGACAACACACCACTGAGCAAGGCCTCCTGTGGCTCTCAAAGAACAGACAAGAATGGGCAAGGACAGAGGAAATCAAGGAAGCCTTCCTGGAGGAGGTTACATGCCTGTTTTGACCTAAAAGATATTAGGAGGCAGCCAAGAGAGCAGTGGAGGAAAAAGAGGTCAGGCAAATGGAAGAGAAGGGAGGAACCTTTGGGGAATGAAGTTTCTGTCCCCCAGCATGGGGTGTGAAGTGGAGGAGTGTGGGGTGGAGCAGGGAGCAGAGGCCCCTCTCCGGGGTCTAGGCCTCTCCTTGGGCAGCAGGGAGCCCTTGGAGGGGCTGAAGTAAGAGAATCCCAGGCCCATCTGCCCTTCTCACTCTAGGGCCACTCCATAGCGGGGCCAGCTCTGCCCCATAGGGCCAGGGTGTCTGAGGGTCCTGGGCCGGCCAACAGGTGGACCAGCACTGCTCACTGCCCAGGAGGGAGGAGGACACCAGGGTGGCCGTAGCAAGCCCACCCGAGTTTACTGGAGCCATCATGTGGCCCTGGGACGGGACTCATCTTGTTTCCAGGTTTTCAGGAAAGGAATAGAGGTGTGAGGTGTCCTGACCAGATGGCCACCGCTGTGTGAGGCAGAGGAGTCGTCCCGGGACGCCATCGGCCTGCTGCGTCTCCCTGGGTGCCACGTCTCTCCAGAAAAGAAACCATCTCCTCCCTCTAAGTGGCTCTCCCCAAATTCCCAGTGGGGCCCCCACATGCCCACGGTCTGGCTCAGGGTCTCCTGTCCCACTGCCGCAGCCCTGGACGAGCCAGTGCTTCCCTCTCTCCACACAACCTGGCCTCTTCCCAAAGGTGGTCCTGGCCTCCAGCAAGGCTCTGTCACCCCCTGGCCCATCCACAGTGCCCCCGACGGCCCTGGAGTGAGCAGCCTCCCTCCCACGGCACTCACCACTCCCATGTGGCTCCCCCGGAGACACCCTTGTCTTTAGAACCTCAGGCTTGAGGTGGGGCCTCCCCGTCCCCTGTCCCCATGCAGGGAGGATCTGTGGGGCTGGGCCTACAACCCCAGCCTGCAGGAGCACCAGGGTGGGGTGCAACTGGGTGGGGCCAGAGGGGCCACCAGCGGGCAAGCAGGCCCACATGGGCACAACGGACGAGGGACCCACAGTTTCTATTTAAGTCTCCTCCAAACATGGTGTCCTATTCAAACATGTGGCATTAATACGAGTTTTGTGCCCGGTGGACAGTTTCAAGTGTGATACTCGGTTTTGTGCAGAGAGCACTGAACAGAAGCCTGTGCTGGAGTCGCCTCTGCAGCGACAGCGGGCCTTGGCCAGGCCATCCGCCAGGGGGCAGGAGAGGTACGCCGGGTCGCAGGGAAAGAACCAGAAGGAGCCAGGCGCCCTGGGGACGCAAGGGGGTGGGGGCAGAGCCTGGAGAAAACAGACTTTTTTTTTTTAGACGGAGTTTTGCTCTTGTCACGCAGGCTGGAGCGCAGTGGTGCGATCTGGGCTCACTGCAACCTCCGCCTCCGGCGTTTAAGTGATTCTTCTGCCTCAGCCTCCCCAGTAGCTGGGATTACAGCTGCACACCACCATGCCCAGCAGGAAACAGACTCTTCACAGCCAACTAAAATCATGAAACCACCCAGTGCAGACAAGGCTGTGACTCAGGGAATTCTGCAGGTATGTGGCCTAGTCCACATGCTGACAGACAAGTGAGGGATCACACGTGCATGAAAATCACAAACCACAAACTAGGGGAAAACCCACAGTCCACGTAACTACACCCACTTGGTGAGTTCTGGGTCTGAAGTGTTTCACTCAGTCAAGTAGAAAAGGCCAATCCAATTTTGCCTACCTCGGTTCTCCTTTGGCAAAGTTTATAGCCTTCATGTACTGAGTCACGCAATTTTCAAACTCCTCCTACAGCAACGAAAACAAGCACGATTAGACTGAAACACTGACCACTGCTCCTCGCCCCTTCTGTGGCTGTCGCAGCTCGCTCATGGTTGGCCTGGTGCCCCCCGTGTATTCACAGGTGACGGCGTGGCAGACACAGCCTGAGTGGGCATCAGAAACCGCAGTGCCTGCGCTCGGGCACGCCCGCCCTACCCCAGCTCTTCTCTGCCCACTAGGGGCAGCTCCGGGCACAGATGCCACAGAGACCATGGCGCTATGAGGCAAAGGTCCAGTGGTCCTGGAGGACGTATCAGATACCAGCACTGGAGCGAAAAGCATGAACAGGAAATGGGGCAAGTTTCATGTCACTCTGGAAATGAATTCCTTCACACTTCTATGCTAAGAATGATTTCAACAGCCTGGTCTGGCCTGCTGTTCTGGAGAGGGGGTGAAAACGGAACTGTTGGGGAGGAGAGCACAGGAGCTTCTCACCAGGTTTTCTGCTGACCTTGGGGCACACAGCTGGGCCCTGCACAGGTGCGCTCGGCCCAGAAACTGGGTGACGGGCGCCTTCACCTTGAAGTACATCTGGATGCAGTCCTCGCTCACCTCTGGCTGTCCCATCTGCAAGAGAACAGCGCCATCGAAGATGGCAGACCGCCGGCCTCAGGGCGGGTGGCCTCCCTTCCGGAACCACCACCGGGCGGCTCTCAGAACCGGCCACACGCAGAGGTCCAGCCTGCTTCCAGCCCCACCCTGCACGCCCCTGGACTGCCCGGCAGGGAGCTGCCCCTGCCAGCCCCTCTGCATCCACGGCCGCCGGAGGCCCTCGCTCTCGCTGTCGAGGCGGCGCTGGCCTGCAGCTCCCGGGAACTCACGACCTTGAGGGCCTGCTCTGCACACAGAACGAACAGGTCCGGGCTGAAGCTCTCCGAGGGGTCGAACTCCGATTTCCCCGAGTTGGCCGACTTGATCAATTCGTAGGCCTTCTTCAAGGACGCAGGATCTGTCACAGACGGGGGCTGAGGAGCGTCTGGTCACCGGGCCCGGGAGAGTGAGCCCCCGGCCCGGCCCCCACCCCGGCCCCCACCCCGGCCTCCCACCCCGGCCCGTACCCCGGCCTCCCACCCCGGCCCCCACCCCGGCCTCCCACCCCGGTCCCCCGGCCTCCCACCCCGGCCCCCACCCCGGCC